CTGACCGACTCCTGGGGGTTCCAGATAAGACGGGCTTGGTGGGAGATGACTGACATGTGATATCTAATTGGCTGGAAAACGCTGCCTTTCTATATTCTACGCAGCTGCCACCTAGTCATTAACAAAGAAAATCTAAAAATAGCCGTCTATAGCGCCGTGTCCTGTAGCTATAATGAAGGGAATATACTCGGCACATGATCAGGAAAATGTGAATCCATGTTTGGATGGAGTGTGCAGAGAGGAGTGGATTGTGATCAGCTTGCTGGTGGTATGTAAGAGGATTGGAACTTTTGGCCCTGAATGTTCCCCGCTCACCAGCAGACCATAAAGATTTCTATAATAGGTCCTAAGCCGAAGAAATGCCAGAGTGTCACTAAAAATTGACTCTATTTCTTGTTCCCGGTAAAGAAATGGCTTAAGGCGCATGTGGGGGAAACATGCTTATTTGTCTTAATAGTGAGGGAATGATGAAACTGTGTGGAAGACCGTTTTAATTCTTGTTTGCAGGATTTATTTATTTTCTAGCACAGTGCAGATGGCGCACACTGGCCTGGCTAAAAGGGAAGAGAAACTGGGTCTGTATTGAGCCCAGTGTGGGAGATGGAAAAAGGGAGGGCCTGGAGCTGCATGTTACCCTACTGAGGGCTGAAAAATAGTCTAAAAAGGAGCTATGGTTGAACTGATAGGGACACGTGAAATCCGAACAGGATGTGTAGATATAATCTGGTAATAGGCAATATTTTTTTCTGCTGTTCTGCATTTTTAAAATTTAAAATGGTCTGTGTTGAACATGTAAGTTTGGCTTTGTCTTCATAATTTATATGATTAATTGAGGTCATATATGTTGTCAATAACACTGGACATTAAAAGTCTGATATTAACAATGATATTGATGAAATCTGCACACATTTATTACATCGTCTGACCAAAACGTTAAGAGAACTAATGAAAGACTCGATGTTAGCAAAGCAGATTTAAGTAGAAAGTCTAAGCAGTGTTTAACCAATCAGCCACAACATTAAAACCATTAATGGGTTAAGTGCATGACTTAGATCAGGGGTGTCCAATCCTGGTCCTCGAGGGCCGCAATCCTGCATGTTCTAGATGTTTCCTTCTTCCAACACACCTGATTCACATGATCAGGATCGTTATCAGGCTTGATGATGAGCTGATCATTTGAATCAGGTGTGTTGGAAGAAGGAAACAAATAAAACATGCAGGATTGTGGCCCTCGAGGACCAGGATTGGACACGCCTGACTTAGATCATCTTGTTAAAACTTTGTGAGATGTATCGGCAGGAACACGTTTCATTTTCCTCATAAAGACAGATAAAATGACTGTTTGATGAAACAGTTACAGAGTGAAACAGACCAGATTGTGCTGAAGAATGTCCTGGATGCTGCCAAAGTTCAAGTTAATGTCAGCCTCATTTTGAGCATCACTGATGCTGCTGAAGTTCCAGATTGATAGAGTCACGAATGCAGAGCTCACAAAAGGACAACATTAGCCACTCAGTCCTGCTCTTTGTGTGTTTGGGTACACCTGCAACTCCGGCTAATGTCACACAAGATAGTGGTGCATTTGCTAAGTACCTCAGGTAGCCTTTATCCTTAAAGCATTTTCTGTCGCAGCGTCAGAAATGAGAGTGAGAGCATATTATAAAAGCTAATGTTAACTTATTAGCTTTGTCAGCTGTACTTGATGAGAACCTGCCGGCGACGGTTGTCATTTCTGCCTACATTTCACTCTTCTTTCAGGAATGTTTTGTAAAGTGGAAAGTTTTGAAGCCATAAACTGCATATGTGGCATTCAGAAAACAGAAAGTTTGACAAGCACAGCAACAAAAGGTCAGCGGGGCTTAGTCAGTTCAGGAGGCCTCAGTGACACACTCTTCCTCGGTATAATCTGACACTTTATGGAGGAGGAGGAACACATTTGATGAATTTCCGCTGTGATGAGCTAATGAAAGTGACAGAAATAGGGGAAATCTGAACTTGGAGGAGATCCAGACCGAAGAAATTGGAGAGGCAGCCGAGTCAGACCTGGCACACATTTGAGCTGCGTGCGCTTGAGGGAAAACCATGAGCACAATTAAATAGATGGTGTTTTACACAGTAATGGGTTTCCTCCTGTCATCATTCACGTAATGTCTGTTTTAACACCTCATTTAGCTTTGTGCTCGTTCTTAATTTTTTCCCCCATTAATTCAAGTGGAAAAATTCTCATTGCAACAGGAACCCTAGTTTTTCTTCATCGGAGCATAATTTGAATATAGAACACAAAGTAACTCATTTCAAGTCGGTATCATCATATTCATGAAAAATGCCGAAGCCTGCATCTGCACAGCTGCACAAACATCCATTTGGATGGAAGCTCGAGAGATTTTCTCTTCCCACTGGCATTTTTTTCCTCAGTTTTGTCAGACTGAGAGACTGAACAAATGAGAAAATAACTCGATGAGATGGGCGTGTTTGTTTTTTCTTGTTTTTTTTTTTTCTTTGCAGTGCATCAAGGCCAGAGTGCTGTGTAAAACAGCCATCTGTCTGGATCTGACTGTTATGAGGAGACCTGTGAGAAGATCCTTGGTGGACAATATAATCCAGCTAAGGCCTGCTGTCTGAAGCAGAAATATCAGGGGGCATTTTGCCGTTTAGTGCCTCTCAGGGTGCTCTCGGTGCAGCGAGGGACACTTTTTAGGGGCCGTAGCAGCTGCTTGGGTTTTGTTGCTGAAGTAGTTTGACAGTTTGATTTAATTCTTTTTTGTGAAGGTTTCACTCAGGCTGTGTTTACATGCACACAAAAAGCCCGGTTATTGGAAGAAATCAAGTTAAGGATGAAAACCGGAGCACGCTTTTAAATGTAGGTGGTCGGTAATCAGATTCCACTTCGACCCCCCCCACCGTAGCTGTACACCAAGGCTGGCATATTTTAAATGTATTAGGAGGATGAGTAATGGTGTTCCTGCTGTACCGCTGCCACTGTGATACTCTCCCCGTGTCAAGTCTTTGCCATGCACTCCTGTAAAAACCCAAATAAACTTCCAGCACACAAACAAAGCAGCTGTCTCCATCAGAAATCTAGTTATCCGGATTTCTCTTAATCCCCTTTTCTCCCCATCGTGAGGACCGGGCTTCTTATTTACATGATATTGAAGAATTGAGTCAAAGAAATGAAGGCTTAGCAATATTTTGGTGCATCCCGAAGCTATTGTAAATGTGTGTGTTCCCTCTGGCCCAGTTAAGCATTATTTCTGACAGCGTTGGTGGCATCCCTTCTCAACAGTCATGCAAATTAGATCTTTGGAGACAACTGGAAAGACACATTAAAGAACAGATTCAGATTCCTTGTCTTCAAGCCTGTTTTAATACAGCATGCACGTGCCATGTCGTGTGTTTTATTAACTGATTTTTTTCCCCTTCCCTCCATGCTAGTCATCCCTTTGCAGCGAGCTTTGTTCAAGGCAAGATGCTCCAGTCAACGTCTTTCATACGCTGGTCAATTTAGAGATTTTGTGATATTTAACTTCTGTAACATGTCTTCTTTCTCTTCTTTTCTCATCTTTTACTCCACTTTACCTATTTGCATCTGTAGAATTCAATTACAATACATATATCTTTAAAGGTCTTTGTCTCAAAATGAGTTTTGGTAACACTTTCTAATAACTATCCGTTATAACTAGTTAATAGATCATTTGTAAACTGTTAATTAGTGAGTTATTAACCACTTGTTAAGTGTTTGTTAATAGTTTGTTGATGATTTATAACGATGCCTTATAGATAGTTAATAAACCATTTACAAACTGTTAGTTAATGAGTTATAAATGACTTGTTAACTGTATATTAATGATTTACAGCCATACCTTATAAACCAGTCATAGATCATGAACAAGCCATTAGTGAGTTACTTACTAATGACTTGTTAAGTATCAGTTAATAGTTTATATATGTTATTGGGACGTTATTCTAAAGTTGCAACTCTTCCTCATTTTTTCTCCTACTGTGAGCCAGAAATGTCCACTTCAGTAGCATTTACCTTCGCCAAACTTTTCAGCCTTATTCCCATCTATGCTCTGAAGGTTTCCACTGAGGGGTTTTGTTCATATATCATTCACAGCCTCATTTATAAAACATTATATTCCTAAAAACATGACAAAAATTGTCTTTTTTTGGCTGTGGATGGTGTTTTCTGATTTATGGAGTGATAAAAAGAGAGATCCAAAATGCCCTCTGACAAGACTTTTGATTCTATACATCGATAAAATTAAATCAAAAGTTTTGAAACTGGCTTTATACAGTATCCAGGTTTCAAAACTGGAAACTAATGTCAGATATGTAATGCCTCTTTCGTCTATTGAAACATAAGATTTCAGGCAAATCATTGTCTTAATGTAAGTAGTCATTGATTAGAAATCCAGAAGCATTTCATCTTCAGGTAATATAAAAATAAGTAAATATCAACAAGCAATCCTGACACGACTTTCTTGACTGAGGTCAGTGATGTTAACATGATAACTCTGACCTCTCTGGAGTCCTGCCATTTCCTGAGCAAAACCACAAAACTTGTGCTAAATAGATAATGAGGTGATTTGTTTGGACGTGGTTTCTGCCACAAACTTCTACGTTTGAAATTGAAGTTCATTAGAGCTGCTCAGCGTGTCAGCATTTTCCGCGTCGGTATAGGATATCCATCCTGAGTGATCGCATTAATCAACAGCTGAATGCCGCTGCGGGCTATTTTGAAAACATATTTTATTTGCATAGCAGCGTGGCCGCATTTGTGGAGCTGAAACTTGGCGTAGACACAACAGTGGTGATGTAATTCTGTTTCCCTCCCTGAAACTACATCTGCGTTTATTTCTTTATTTACACGTATTGTTTTTTCCAATAAACTCACATGCAGATTTTGTGTGCAAAGTGTCTAAATATATATTTCTCTGACACTAATGTTTAATTTTGTCTCTCTTTCTCCCCCCCAATTTCCTCCCCTCTCTGTTCTGCAGGTATGCATTGTGCAAAAGAGGGACACCGAGAAGATGTACGCCATGAAGTACATGAACAAACAGCAGTGCATAGAGAGAGATGAGGTCCGAAACGTCTTTAGAGAGCTTGAGATCCTACAGGAAATTGAACATGTTTTTTTAGTAAATCTCTGGTGACTATCCTATGTTTTTACAATTTCAGTGTGGTCTGCTGTTGTCGGTCGCCTGCTTTGCCTGTCTGTGCATTTCCCCCCCTCAACAGATTCCCGATAGACAGCTGCATGCTTCCTCTTAGATAGACTTTTACGATCCCGGTGTTGCATGCACTTTACTTTCTGCATTTGGCACTGAGTGATTTAAAAAAAAAAAAAAAGTTTTCGTAGTTTAATTAAAGCTTGAAACATTTCTTCCTCCAGAAACCAACAGCTATCAACTTAAGAAACAATTTACACAGGAGAGATATTTCGGGATATTAATTTTGACTCTGAGCCCATGAAGCACACATTTGATAATTACTGTGGTTTGAAATGACCTTACTCTTCCCTGGAGTCTGATATGTGGGTGAATGGAAGCTGCTTTCATTATTCAACGTTCATCTCCAGGCGGGACACATTTCTAAATGTAATTGGGGACCTGGCACGGCATTCACGGCATATTACACAAAGCACTTTACTCCTCTGTAATTGGTAGAATGATGCCTATCTTCTCTGAGCAATCGCCGCCAGAATATTTTGTTATTCACACATTCCATGATGAATTGATTATGTGTAGCGGGTGAGTAGATGAACCAAGACATGGTTGTGTCCTGGGCTCATCCTTTCACCAAGTTGTAAATGATTTAAAGTTCAATCTGCGGGATGGTTTTTGCCTGCTGGAGAAGCTACTCTACTAGAACAAACTGAGGGCATTTTAATGAGCGTACAGTAGTAGGCCTGTGTATTTTTTATAATTCCCTGCAGGAGTGTATGACTGCCAAAGCCTTCTGTGTTCTAGTTTTCCATGTGCTGTGCTGCTCTGCACTCTCCCTCTCGCTCTCTCCCTCTCTCTCTCTTTTGTCATAGTCTGCGTCCAGCACCATTTCAAATGCCCATTAGTGACAAGCGCACCAAATTGTATCATTGCGGATATGTGGGAATGAGAAGTTTCACACCTCCTCTCTGCATTCGAAATGCTCCAAAAAGGGCCCGTCCATCTCACCAGGAGGACATAGCAACCACATACTCCACCAGCTTCCCTCATACCAAAGTCCTGTCAGTGCCAGACTCAGCCAACAGTCTCGGTTACTTGGACAGTCCACCGCACTTGTATGCGAATGTAATCTTCCACATAGTTTTAACTTAGCAAACTTTCACTTCACACTAATCTCACCCATTTCTAGTAGAAACCAAGCATGGCGACATTTCTTGTTTCATTTGCAAACGATTTGATTTTTCTGCCTCTAAAACAATGGAGAGTAATTGTGTTTTTGCCACATACGTTCGCAGCATTAAGCGGCTTCCTTCTGTTAGGTACTCTCGATAATCCACAGGACATGCTTTAAGTGGTTTAAATTGACACTTTCACTCGAGGAAAGTAGTTTCAGCAATAACTGCCGCTTGCATAATCACACATAGGGACACAGTGTCTTAAATGGTATATTGCTGTTTTTTTACATTTTTATTATTTTTTGTTCTTTTTTTTTTTTAAAGTGCGAGCCCCATAAGTGTAATTCCATGTACTTCCACTGTATGGTATGTGGCAAAAGTACCTTTAAATTGTAGGCACAAGTTACCATGATGCATTCAGTGATTCAGTGGAGTACAGTAAACACAAAAACCTAAATCAATAATAACACATGTGAGAATCTTTTCCTCTAAAACAGCTCCACTTCTTCTTGGTGCACCTGCTTGTTCCAGCATCTTGGAGAACTTGGAGAACCACTGTTGTTCCTCTAATCCCAGACTGACTCCATGCTGTTGGCTGTTTAAAGTCCACACCGACTATTACTGGACTGTGTTCCTCTTTATGATTCTGGCTGTATGTTTGGGGTCATTGTCTCCTGCTGCAGGATGAATCTGGGACAGATCAGACACCTCGTTTCTCTTTCCTTCCTGCAGGTGGGCGTTTGAGACTGCCCAAGCAAATGTGCTGGTTAAACCACCACCTAAAATTAAGAGCGTTACCACCTTATTCTGCAGCGCTTTTGGCTCCGCGATCGTTTTCAGTTTAGCCCACATTCTGCATTGCGTAGGGTGCTTGGACTTGTTTTCCTGCTTGCGTTTCTTTTATTTATTTATTTATTTATTTTTAAAAAACCAAGATAAACCAACGCTTTAAGGAAGGCTAAATCTGTGTTTGCTCTGCGTCAGTATCTCAAATATATTATGTACACACTTGAGCATCAGTGTGCCCCAGTGGTTTATGCTCTTTGCTGAAGCACTCATTGTAGAAGTTAGGCTAGGTCAGGGCCTTTTTCAACAGCTTCTTTCAACAGGAGAGTCTCGTTCGGATCTCTCCTGCTTGTATTTGGCTGATCATCTCGAAAAGCATACAGAGGCTGTCAGATAAAAAACAAACCATCAGAGTCAGGGATGCAGGAAGCAAAGGCTCATTGTCAACAGGCTGTTGCCACTGCCGTCACACTGTGCGAGATCTGCCAGGTAGAACCAGCTGTGTTACTGTGTGTGGCTGCAGCTGTTACTGTACGAGACACTGAACATGGGCAGCTGGGTTATTGCCAGACTTGTCCCAAGTCACCGTAGAGCGTAAGAAAAATGTATTTTCTAGTATAACTTTGCTCTAATTCGCTAAGTTCTAAGGTTTTTAGATACTGGGATTGCACATACCTACAGTCAGAAACAGTTCTATCCTCATCAATAAGTGAATCCATTTGGAACTGCTCTGAGGATCGTCTTCGGGAACTGAAGCTTGACTCTGAAGAACAGTATGTGTCCAAAAATATATAATGAAAGAAAGGTTTTGATTTTTCTGCTAAAGCCGGAGAGAGGAGACCACAGTGAGACATATAGAAAATCAATTTCTAGCTGGAGTCTATAGTGAGTTCGTAATTTCTTCCCCAGTTTACAAGACACTTTGTGAACACGTGTACAAGACAGCGTTGTTATGTTGCACCTGTATGCATCGCATAAACTGTCTGCTTCATTTAGCTGCTGCTCGAGACAACATCTCAGCCCGGCAGGTAATGAGATATGACTGATAAAAACTCTGCTTCATCTTCCCTATTGTCTCTCCTACTGTATAGCACTGAGGAAAATAATTGGTTCAGTGTGTGGGCATGCTGTTTAACCAAACCCCCTTAGATTAGACTGTTGCCAGTATCCATAGGCTTGTCAAACAGAGCGTTACCATATCTGCTGCTTTGTTTTGGGGCACTACATTATATTATTAATGGATGTGTGAGAGACCAGCTGGGGTTTTTGGAAACTGCCTATTTTCAAAAGCAAACAAAAAAAGATTCAACTCATGAGAAAAACCCGGCTTTGATAAAGCTTCATAGGAGTGTTTTTATTGATACAGTGCCAGGAGTGAGCCAAACAGACAGTCAGCCAGAGTCAGAGAGAATGAAGGAAAATACACCAAACAGCTGTCAGACGGGGTGCATAAGACAGCACTGAGAAAGTATTTGGCATTGATTTGTTTTGTCAAAAAAAAAGAGATGTGCAGACTAAGAGGATTTGTAAGGTTTCCTCCAGCTCATACCTACACACCCTGGCACACTTTGTGTCTGGAAACGCGGTTTAGCTTTCATTGAGACATCCTGAATTCCGCTTTGCTTTTGAACGGCTCCATCCGTAGCTTCAGAAGAAATTCATTAGGAGGCAACCTTGTGAAAGCCCACACTGAATCCCATCAGCCAGGGATAGGCTGCCTTAAGCTGGGCGGATGTCAAGTTTGCAGCCCACAGTAATTGCTGCGACCATTCCCTCGCTGCATAGAAAGCATGTGTAGGAGTCGAGGGTACACTCAATGGATTACCTTAGAGGAGGAAAAATTAACTATCATCAGCTGCAAACACCAAATCCACGGAAATCCTTGTAGGGATTTGCGACACATGAGAAGACGCTGACTTCTTCTTTCCCTCATAATGTGCGAAACCCCAAAGTGCAGGGGGGGGTCACATCGGCCCACACAGGAGCTGAAAAGTAACCAGCAGCAGGGTGCGATGAATGTGGTCCCCCGGTCAGCGGAGTGTAGCACATCATTATGAAAGCAAGATTTCGCCTTAAGCGTTACATCACAACAGATCACTCTCAGACATCATCACCTGTTCTCCCCAAGGGTCCGGAGACGCACCACTGAATCATGACCAACAGGACGCTGCTTCAGTGCTTTTAAAGTCGAAGCGTGCAAGAGTAGCAACTGTCATCAAAGAGCTCTCCCAGTCCCCTGGGCGCATCTTAAAGGTTGCAAAACCAAAACAGGGGTGAGTCATCAGGAGCGGGTATATAGTGCCTTCCTCACGCTGTCCGTCCCTTCATCAGAGTCAGAAAGCGAGAGAGTGGAGTGGTGAGGATGGATGTGCCCTATCCTGTTCAGCCTCCATTAGGAATATTGATTTCAGGCCTGGATGGAACAAGGCCTTGGGAGACTGTGGAACAAATTAGCCTCTACACCCCCAGTCAGCACTTATAACAAGCCCTGTGAGGGGGCTTAGCCTTAAATCATTATCATGAACGTCAAAATATGGAACCATTTCTATTTCCAAAAGCACAGGAGTCTGTTTTTCTTGTAAAACATTGTGCTTCCACAGGTTATTTTGCCCTGGACTTGCAGCCTTGAAGGACTTTAGACTTTCACTTAAACTGTCCTCACACTACTTTTACAGACGAACTTTTTGTAGGCCATGGCTTTCAAAGTGCACCTTGTGAAAGGAGGCCAGCGGAGGTGTTGTGTCTTAAGGCGACCAGTTGGAGGCTGCTAAGACGAGAGGCAGCGCTCACTCACGTCTTTGTTGAAGGAGTCCTCTGAGGACCATGCAAGTGTCTTGTGATTGAGTCATGCAGCTGACTCCGGCCATCTCTATCATCAACTTTATGTAGGCCATTGAAACTTTGCAGACCAGCTCGAGCCAAAAGAATCACAAGCTCTTGTTTCTCTCTCGCTTTTTACCTCAAAACACTTTCTCCTCTTCCGCTGTCCCTCTATTTCCCTCTCTCCTCCCTGCCTCCCTGGGCTCATTTGTCATTGTGGCCTGATTATTTCAGCCTGTTCCTTGTACCCCTTCCAGCCGGCTAACCTTCCTCTCTTAGTCGCTGTGACTGTCGCAGCCTAGTCCTGTCCTGGCCTTGCTACATGGCCTCCTCATGGTTTTGGACAGAAACGGCTCTCCCCAGGCCCCACAGAAGTGCCAGGCATTCATTCATACTCAAGGTTTTGACCAGCGATTCCTCTGTGCTCATTAGGAAGCAGCACTCAATAAATTGTGCTCATTGCAGGTGCAGAGGGCACACTAAATGAGATTAGTGGTCAAACATGATTTTGACCCATTCCAGCGTCCCATTGCGTGAGGGTGTATACCGCAGATATAGAACAGTTGAAGCTTCACTAAATGTTAGTTTTATATGGACAGTAGATGAAAGGGTTTCTGTTTTGGTTTAGTCCCACTATCTGATCAGTATTATTTCCAGTCATAGCAGGCAGAAATGCTCCAATAAATGGATTATACAGAACAGTACCTGCTCAGCAACAAACATCGGACAGACAAGAAAGTAGCTTGTGAATATCCTGAAGCGTTCGACAACTAAAGAGACAGATGTATCTCACAGAATGCTAGATTGCTGCTTCATCGGTCTGTTGAAGTGACTGCGTGATGTTATATCCAATTTCTAAGTAATTAATGAAGGTACTGCTGTTCCTCATGCATAAATGGACACAACTAAACTTTAAGTCCTGTTTATGTTGTGTCAAAAGTTTGATTACAGTCATTATGAGAGGAGTCTAATTATTCTGGCCTGTTGCAGACTCTGGTATTTACATTTCAGTTTGTAATACATTTAAAACTCTGGCAAATAAAAATGCTGTTTTGTGATTTTGGCACACAAGCAGAACTCTCTGTGATGATCTTGGACCAATATTGGTGGCGAAATTTGGAAAATGTTTTCTCTAAATTACTTTGCACAACTCAGTACATGGCTTGGGCATGCCAATACGTTAATGGAACAGCATGCAGTTTAGCCTTGTGCCGTGTTAAAAATGATACGTAAATGTTATTTGGTCTGACCTAAGAAGATTGCTGTTGTTGCTTTTATGGAATAGTGAGCAGGGTTCTCATTTAGACATGAAGTTCAGTTGTCATCAGATTATTGGAAAGGAGTGCTTGTCTGAAAAGGGCTTCATTTACGCCAGATGGCCAGAAATTGGAACTCAAAATGATGCTAATGTTACATGTTTTCTGGATGTGTGCAACTATCTGCTCACACGTCACTGCTTATTCATATTACAATATTAAAATTCTAAACTTGCAGCTTGATGTGTTCTCACAGAGTCGCCAAAATATCAATTAATGCTGGTTTAATGTAAAAGGACATCAGTCAGTGTCATAGCTACACTGTCTCATGCCAGTTGATTTTATATTTAAGTGCAAATTGCTGCTGTCTGTTCTATACATTTGTTATTGCGTGTGCCAAATGCTGACAGAAAATATCAGCCTGAACGTAGATCACAACCCGGCACATTTCGTCTGTCTTCCTCTGCATCTATCCCAAGTGTATACCGTCCTCTCACACTACTGATGTCCTTGGCTATCATCATCTGTAATGGTTTTCCACTTATGCGAAACAACAAAGTGCGAGGCTCCAACATCCAGAAAGGGCTTGAAGTAGAACTGTTTTAAAAGCTGCCAGTTGCTGGCATCCGATTCATGGTTCTTCCAGGACACCTGCTTGCAAAGGTATTGCGGGCACGTCCACTTGGGATAAGACTCCAGGGAAGGTCCAGATTGATTGCACATCTTATGTCCTAGCATAGGAACACCTTGGGATCTCCCAGGAAAACACTGGAAGAATTGGCAAGGGAGAGGAGGAATGATTGGACTACTTTGCTTAAGGCCAGAGTGAGCTAGGAGCTAGTTTGGACATCTTTGCCACACTGAACATACAGACGAAATGCTTGCCGTCAAGAGAGCGTTGTGGTGCAGTGACTGCCACTAATAGGGAGAATGTCAGATAAGGACATGCACTCTCTGCCGTCCAACACCTTCTTAGTTTTGCACTCATAAAAAGTGATTGAGGTAGTTGCCTGAAGAAGTAAAATTGAATTGAGCTGCATATTTTCTAACTGCTACACTCCAGGGCAGTTACTATATGAAACGTGTGTGCTTGTCGGACTTTTGCTTTTGGAAAGTCACCAGCATTGTCGGACGATGATCTGACAAGTGCTTTGGCCCAAGCAGACTGACCCCTTAACGTGCTGCCACTGCGACCACTGGAGTCAGTGCCAGAAAGTCAACGGAGGGATGAATCTTTTTTTTATCTCATCTCTCCAAACAAGTACCCTCCAACTAATGCTTTCCTTTCCACTGTTCCTCCGCCTGTATTCCCTTTCACTCCCAGACAGAAGAGGATTTTTTTTTTTCTTATTGGATTTTTGAAACTGTCAGATTTATGGATTTGTGTTTATTTTAAGCAAAGTGTTCCCAAAAAAATGGGGAATGAAATTGCTTGTATTTCCTCTCTGTCCCATCCTTGGTGAGAGTCTTAAAGGTGACAGGGCTTGTCAGCACCGGAGCTTTCATATGCTCCAGTTGTCGGCCCGTATCTGACATTTCCTTGTCACCTCAGTGAACGCTGCGAAGGAAGTGACAACAAGACCGGGCCTCTGCAGTCGCTCTCTCAGGAGCGCAGATATTTCAGCGATGGACCGGGAAGACCGTTTTGTGCAACACTGAGATAGCGAGGGCCGCCTCAGAGGAAGCTCATCTGTCAACTGGATACCAGGAATCAGACTGTGACAATGAGGTGATAAAAAGGTGACAGTGAGGAATCCCTGCCAAAGGCAAACAACATCCTGGGGCTGGCCATCTGCTGAGGCCGCTCTGTGTTTTAATAGTGAGGCTGATCTGTAAAGGGTCAGGCCAGGTTGGTGGTTCCACTGTCGTTTCCTATTTAGCTCTTGCAACAACAGCAGTGGCAGCGAAGACGAAACGTGAGAGTCTCGTGTGAGAAACTTTTTTGACAAGCGTGAGCTCATCAGTATTTAACATTATAGCATTTAAGGGGTTTTTTTTTTCCCATCCAATTAAAATCTAATGCATCTGGGAAAGATGCTTTATGTGTTGTTTCTGTGTTCACTGAATCATGGTGTGCTTTTCAGCCCATTATCTGTCCTATCACATCAAAGTCAAGGCCGCTTCATCAATTAATCTACGGTGTGTTTCAGGAGACGAGAAAGAGCCAGCAGTACTGCAAATGGGTTTTTTTCTTCTTTCTCCAGTCTGTGGATGAGATGGAATGATTTTCACTCCGCACCAAACACGGGTCCCCCTTTCTCACTTATAGAGAAGCAGGAAATTGCACCTGAGTAGGACCAATCAGAACATCCCCCTGAGTGTTCAGAGCCAAGCTTGAAGATACAGTAGGAACCTGCAGCTATAAAAAGAGTAATACACTACAGTATCAGAGCTTTAATGGGAAAATAAAGAACTGGCTCAGTAGCAGCCACATTAAACCAAGTTTGATAGAAGCAATCACCAAGGCTCCATTTGTTTTCCCTCCTCTGCTGCAAAGTGACATGGGGGGCCTATTAAGATATTATTCTGCCTTTATTTTTCTTATGTGAGAAATTAGATTCTGTTTTACAAAAACGGTCTGTTCACCCATGTGGCTTAATGTTTTGTTCAGTAAAATTGTGGAGTGGAGTGTTACAAATCCCCTCCCAGATCCCTGAGAGGCTGTGTTTTAATTTGATGTGCATGATTAGTAAGCCTGATTGACAAAAATGTTTAGCGGACCATGAGCAGCCTTCAATTAAGTCACATCAAGCAAAGACGAGCTGTTGTCAAGCTTTAATTTGACAATCACCTCCTCTCTTTTTGCATTCCTTCAAATAGCTGGCATGTTATTAGGATAATGGTGGATGCTACTCTGTCATGGTGAATCGTGCATGCTCTTACTCAAACCAACTCAAGCACACAGTGACATGCACAAAGATGCATTATTTGTTTTAGTAAAACGCAGAGGAAGTTGCATGTAAAGGGCATGTGTTCCTGTGGTTCTACACAGACATGACCTTCTGTTTGTCCCTGTGTGGATTTCCATGAGCATGCATGTGTGTCTGAAGCTGTGTTTTGTGCTGCATGTGTGAGCATACAGGCCCTCGTAGCGTACGTGTTTGCTGTGTGCGTGCTCAGTCTTTGCTTCTGCTTGTGCCGCATGTGTTTTCTGTCCACACTGGACAGTGACTGAGCGCCGTGTCATCCCGCCTGGCCCCAGGTACTCGTTCCAGGATGAGGAGGACATGTTCATGGTGGTGGACCTCCTGCTGGGAGGAGACCTGCGCTACCACCTGCAGCAGAACGTCCAGTTCAGTGAGGACGCGGTGAAACTCTACCTCTGTGAGATGACGCTGGCACTGGACTACCTGCAGAGCCAGCACATCATCCATAGGTACAAATTCACATTTTCTTCTTTCTCATTTCATTTCAGTGCAAGGTCATCAGCTTCCAAGCAGTTCCTGTTAACTGCATAAAAGATGAAGTAAGAAAAAATAAATTCAAAAGCTCCTATTACTTGGAGTATGGACATGTGGATAGTGAAGGTGAATTATTCTCAGCCAATATGCTTTTTATCAAATTCAGTGAACATCTCATCACAGTCTGCTAGATTTCTGTTCTCTGCGTGTGCTGGAAAAAAAAATCTGGTGTTCATACACCACACGTCTTCAGGCTTTGTAAACGTATGACAAATTAAGTGGCTCAGACCAATCCACACTAATCAAGTGTGTCCTTTTCATGTTCAAGCTCATGCACAGGACATGTTTAATGGAAAGAGTCAGTGGGAGAGAGAGAGAGAGGTAAATCTGGCACATGCTATTTAAATATGCTACCTTGCTAAAAATCAACAGTCCTTCTCCAGAATCCCAGACTCCACTTTTAATTTTAAAAAGTGTTATAAATTAGCTTTCCTGAAGACCATTATTCTCTAAACACAAAAAAGCTCGTCTTTAGTGAAAGACATGCTGGGCGGCTGTGGCTCAGGTGGTAGAGCGGTTGTCCTCTAAACGCAAGGTTGGCGGTTCGATCCCACAGTCCAAGTGTCCTTGGGCGAGACATTGAACCCAATGTTGCTCGCAATGGCAGCTCTGTCCCCATTGGTGTATGAATGTGTGTGTGAGTGGGTGAATGAGAAACACATTGTAAAGCGCTTTGAGTACGACTAAGGTAGAAAAAAAGCGCTATATAAGTGCAGACCCTTTACCATATTATAAACAGAAGAAAGGTTAAAGCAGCACAGATTGCTTTTCTGTGAATTCAATAAAAACATATCAGTTTAAAAAACTAATATTGTGAATGCAGAGAAAACATTCAGCAACATTCACATTCATTTAGAGACATTTCTGTTCAGGCTGCAACTAATAATTTGTTAATTGTTTACTCAGTTAGTTTGATAAGTTGTTTGGTCAATAAAATGGTGAAAAATGTCCATCAGTGTTTCCCAAAACTTAAGATGACTGTTCTTAAATGTCTTGAATCCTCAGCAACCCAAAGATATTCAGTTTACTGTTGTAGAAGACAAAAGAAACCAGAAAGTATTCAGATTAAAGAAGCTGGAATCAAAGAATTTACCCACGTTTTTCTTTTAAAAAAATACTCAAACCAATTAATTTATTATCAAAATAGTTGGTGGTTCATTTAATACTTGACGATTAATCGACTGATCATTACAGCTTTAGTTTCTGTGCACCAAACTAACGGTGACTTTCATTTTCACCACATCCCTCCATGCCAGCAGATCACTAACATTGTCTATCTGCACTTCAGATTGTGTACAGTGGATTTATCAAAGTTTTGCTGAGAGATTGAACCAAAATATTAAAGCTGCAGCCGTAGAATCAAAGCAATGAGCTAAAGGAAATTGTTTTGAGGAACAGTGTGGTGTCTTGTGTCCATGAGCAACCTCTTTCACATCCCATTCCATAAATTTATCCATTGTGATTATAGAAATATGAATTAATGCAGCTTTAAATTGTATCTAAATGTGAATGCGAAAATGGTTTTGTTTTTGCTTCAATAGTGGCCTTGAACTGATCGGATTTTTAGACAAAGCAGCAGTCCCTTTGGTGTTTAAGTTCTCCACTGGACAAAGCAACTTCTACATCTAACAGTGCAACACAATCAGTCGAAGATCAAATGTCCTTTTGCTCTGGGCTTTGATTTGTGTTTATAGGAGAGCAAAAGACACAATTAACTTTCAAATACAACCATCAAAGTATTTACATCCACAGTTCCCACTTACAATAGCGTCCAGATACACCAAATGCACCAGTGTCATTCCGTTGCATCACTGTCTTTAATCAGATATACTGAGCCTCAGTTCAGAGCCTGCACAGAGAAAAACACTGAAGATCAGCTCAAGGTTGCATCTGTCACTTTTAGTATTCGAAAGGTTTCCTTTCATTGTGTTCTGCTCCTCTCGGTTGCAACAGTATTATTGCTGATTTATAAGTGTTGTGGTTTAGTCTTCAGGCTTAAACCGAAACACCAGGATGAATTTAAGTTAAAGGCTTTTCTTTACGTCATAACTTAAGCAAGTGTGTTATCTCCTCTCTGCTCCAGAGGGAATACAGCAATAATCTTTTTTTTTCTTTGTGTAAGCACTCTTAGTTTGACAGAACCACAAAGTCACCGTGCCTTTCTAACTAGCGTTATATGCAGTTCTTTAGGCTATAAACATGACTCAAGTGCTTCTGTGGAGATATTTTTTACATCCACCTTCGTCATGCCCTATAGATTAATCCCACCTGGTTCCACTTTGACCTTCCTGTTTAGGATCATGTCCTGTCAGCTGACGCTACATTATTCTTCTAGGGGAGTGCACGGTGCCCTGCAGCTCCCTGGAAGGGATTGTAAAAAGGGTTAGTCATATTCTGTTATGACTGTAGAGTATGCGCTTTAAATTGCCCGTATTTTGCATCAGTATTCATAGACTCCCTACCACAGTATGGTGATAAATGTGTATTATGCTCTATTTAAAAGTCCACCTAACTGTAGAAAATCTCTTGTAAGAGCAATTAAGATGTAATAGAACGTAATTTCTCCTCGAGTCTGTGTGTGGGCTCCGAGTATTTACCTTCTGTCAACATTTGGGCATCCCTGTTTTCATTGAAGTTGCTTTACATATCTAAAGATAGCACACATGAGTTTTTCCATAATTGTTACCATCCATCATCCTCAACTAGGGTGGACTCGCTGTCCGCAGCTTTTTGTCCAGATATGCTGAGTGCAGCAGTAAGTGTGTGTGCAGTCCAGTAAGTGAAAGAGCTGGATCCCTGCAGACTGCAGATTTAGTGCCACAGATGGCTGAAAAACTGTTTGAACCTTGTTCAAAACCTTATTTGGGCTACATTTCTTCTTTCAAACAACAGTGTATGTGTGTGTATGTGTACTTGTGTTACTCATGTTGTGAGGACATTAATCTAACACAATCACATTGTGGGGACCTGCCTGCTTTAAAGGGACAAAAAGCAAATCCTCATGATGTAAATCAATGCATTTTAGTGCAGTGGCTTGGTTTAAGATTTGGCAAATAGTAGTTACAGTTGGCGTAATGGGTTAAAGTAGTGTCTGAAGTAGGCACAAAGATAGAACATGTGGTTAATTAACAATGGAAATAATCATTAGTGTCACCGCTACTAGACACTGAAGCATACAGCAGTGGTTTCACGTTTAGCTACATGTTCAGCATAATGCTAAAAAAAAACACTTATCAAGCTTCTTTACAGAGAAAACATAAACAGTGGAATAAAAAATGAGCAATGCCTGAAGACATCTGAAAGAAAGAAGTGTTCAAGGATCAGTTTGGCATTTTGTTGCTTCTTTGCCAGAAGTTAAAAGATTGTTATCAATCTCATGTTCACGCTTTACATCTACAGCTGGAGCCAGACGTGGTTAATGTAGCTGAGCAGGGCAAAACAGTTACGATGAGGTTTTTTTTCTCCAAAGTCTAAAAATCCACCTACGAGCACCTCCCAAAGTTCATTATTAATACATTAAAATCTGCACAAAAACATTGAACAAAACAGTGTAAAAACAACAAGTTTGCGCTGGTTGCCTGGCAGCAAACACCCCAGATTACAAGAGAGACTGTAACGTGATTGACTGCAGCCTCACTGATATGTATCTGTGGCTATTTTTAGGTGCTCGCACATGGGTAGGTGCTGTATACCTGCATATACGCACCACGACACCTCTGTTAGCAAACTCACACCGACAAGAAGGCTCCATCAAGACATGCTGATTGTTTGTGGTGTGAACTTTTTTCTTTTCTGCTAAAACCAGTATTCAAGTGTTATTACACAAATTGTAGACATTTGCATGTAAACAGTTGCATGTGATGTGTCATATCAGTAAGTCGTTGCATTACACGACAGATATCCAGTCCTTTTTTTTTTTTCCTAGTTGGCAAATATGTTCATAATGCACATCTCAGATTGTCTTTAGAACTAGGTGACAGCTGCTTCCATGTTTCCTCACCCTCCCCTTTTCATCATGTGTTCTGCCTTTGACACAACTGTGTCTGCTCTCAGAGCCATAATCCAATCCCTTGGTATCCATGGCCTCCCCCAGCTCTACAATTTTGTTCCACCCTGTAAGTTTTTGACAGGAGAATACTATACAATTATTTTGTTGCACCAACTGAAGGAAGAAGGGTCTCTGGTCTCCTAGCAACAGTTAGCTGCCACCATGCCCAAGGAGGTAAAATTAGTCCTATGAGAAGAGGGGACGTAGAATTGGAGAATCCCTTTTCTCTTCTCTTCTTTTCTTTTCTCACCAAGCGGCTTCATTTGTCCTCATGCGCTCTGCATGTTAAAATCTCTGCTTGTCAGATCACACTCACTCTGGAGGTTTGTTCCTGTACAAAACACGGATCCACTTTACATGCAGTTTCTTGTGTTTCTGTGCTTGCTGCAAAATAAATTAAGTGAATTCTGTTCTTCAAGTAAAATGACAGGGTGCTCCTGCCAGGATCCCCCCGCCGTGAACATGTATGTGTTTCCCTGCAGCCTTCTACTGCTGGATCCGTCCGCCCCACCGCCACCTCCACTCCCCTCCAAGAGTTTTGGCAGATGATATTAGCATCAGCTTAGCGTTGCATAGCCACAGCGAACACATGCGTCCTACGGGACACGTCGACGCTCTCTGCAGACCGAGCGTATTCTCCACACCAGCGTGATGTGCGGCATAATTAAATAAGCTGTGTGCGCTCTGTTAATTGCCTGTGGAGTGCTTGAAGGGCTGGGAAATGTCGAGATGTGTGTGTGCACGTGTGTGAGTGTGTGTGTGTGTGTGTGTGTTTGAATGTGTCCATTGCATCGGTGCCCAGTGTAATAAGCATGTGCAGACGAAACCTGCAGGAGCCTTCGGGACAAACCTGCGACAGCCTCCTGGGGATCGGTGATGGTTGTGTTCTCATGGGCTCTGGCAACGTTTGAAATGCAAACAATGAAAGAATTTTCTCCCTCAAGTTCTCTCACTGACACACACACACACACACACATGTTGCAGCAACATGTAATTCACACATACATCAGCCTCTAAACACCTCCTACAGACTTTCACATCTACACATACTGCACACATCTCATCCAAGTCTTTCCCACTGGACCACAAACTATGACAACTTGAGCACATGTTAGCTGAGAACTATAGGAGGAAATTATGCAAATTATGAAATGTTTTGAGTCTGAAACCCTTTAACTGACACTAATAGCAGCAGTTCTTAAAGTGGGTTTTCATTTACTTGTTTTTGCACATTTATATTAAAAAAATGAAACAACTCTGACGTCAATACTGACATTTAAAAACATTCCCCCAATAAGGATTTCATACTTGGCTCAGGCAGAATTGTAAATATGTTGATGCTGTATCAATAAAAACATTACCTGTGATGGAAACACACTTAGCTATGAAACCATGACGCACATAAACCATGTGATTTGATTGTCCGGTGAAACACAGACATAAAAGATACCAACAAACAAAAACATCCGATCTGTGTGAAGTGATCAGGAGGCTGCACCTTTCCTCAGATTAACACACAAGCCAAACAGGAATGTCATATTGATTCCACATTAATTTCCATTATTTAACGTCTTCTTCTGTAGTAGTTTAGCGGCACATTTGCAGATTTTCCGGGAGTTTTGTTGTGCTGCATTTGACGACTGTTTGCATTGTTTACGTCCGTGCAAATGCATGAAATGAGTTTGTCTGTATTTGTTCAGGTTATCTAATGATATCATGACAAATCTTCTGTGTTGTTTTGTTCTTTCTTTGTCTCCTGTAGAGATGTAAAGCCAGACAATATCCTATTAGATGAACAAGGTAAGGATGTCATCCATTTGCTTTGTGTATGGGTGTGCAGCAGGACTTGGGTTTAATAAGATGTGCAAATAATACTCTTTTTTTTGCCTGCTTGTATATGGAGGAAAAATAAGTGTAGAACTGGTTTCATGCATAATTGTGTGATACAACACAAGCAGTCTGCACAGTGCTGGGGCTAAAATAAAAAAAACTTCCACTGTGGCGTAGATTTAACTAATAGACTGAATTTTGATGCTTCTGTATCTGTTACACAAAGTTGTTTCGTTCTTGACTATGTTAAATAAAAACCTCTATTTCTGTGTAAGTTCAGACTTTTTCCAAACATGGCCGACCAGATAACTGCATCTTTCCCCTCAGGTCCCCTCACTGTAACGTAAAACTTCCTCCTGCCTCCTTAAAAATGTAGGTGTTCCAAGGCTGCTTCACAGAAAAAAATCTGCAATGAATGAAATTTAGAGGAAAAATGTTGACCACAGTCAGTTTCCAAAGGTGATGTGGTAGTATCCTGTCAGTCACACGGTGGCTCCACTTTAAAGCATGTCTTGCAGCATGTATTGTCCATTTTATTTTACATTGTGCCATAATTTACTAAATTAATATCATGATGTGGTCAAAAATACCCAAAACTAGCAAATGGGACCTTAAACTTACAAGGAAAAAGTTAACTGAGCTAACAAAGTTTGAAGTCTGTTTCTATAAAACTGCAATCTGGCTTCTTTTTGCAACCAGACCAGTCGCCCCCTGCTGGTTAATGGAAAATGTAGATGCAAGTCAGCTCCATGTTTGCTTCTCTTTTTCCATGTTGTTACCTTGGAAACATAGGACATAGCTCCATGTCAGCCTGAGGGTGAGGTGGCTAACTTTTAAGCAAAAAATGTAACTTTGTTTTTGTGAACTTGCAGTAGACTAATCAGAGACATTTTTAAACAGTAGACCAATTAAGAATGTCTTCATAAAACCAGCCTCCGATGGTCTCCGCAATCTTTTAAGAGGCAAAGGTGCTGCGTTTTTTATAATTATCGTGAACTATTAGTACTCCAAAATAGACTTGTTATATTTTGTCAACTGCATCTTATCCAGCTGAAGCCACGTTAGATTACAGTCTACTTTTTTTATTCCTGCACCTCAGTCTTTTACTGACAGCTCATTGGACAGAATGTATTTCTTCTGAAGAATCATAAATCTTCTGTCTTCCTAAATTTAAAACTACTAGTGCATTAAAAGGCTCCTTTCTACTGCACTGCACCAAATAAACTGAACAAACTACACTTGATTGTCTCACATTGAATGATTTTAAACTCAATTGTATACTTTCTTTTTGTCTGAAGCGGTCAGTATGTGCTCGTATGTAGCTGGTTATTGTTTATGTTTTTATTACTGTCCTTGTATCTTCTGCTGTATGTAAATATGTCTATAACGCAGTTGTGTTTTTCAAAGTGATTATTTTACTTTTATATCTAATATCTACCTTTTGCATATAACGGGGGAAGGTAAGAATTACGTAATATGCCAGAATTTTTTAGAAACCCAGTGTACAGTCAGCAGTGAGTCCATCATGACAAGTGTGTCACACAAAAATGACCCTTCAGGCTGCTAATGAGTCGCAACAGTAACAAGGTCAGACGATTCATGGACGCTTGACTGACACACAAAATAATGAGTGCACACTGATCCAGTGTACTGAAATGTGAGATTTTGTTGTCTTTCTTTTGCTTTTTACATGTTGAAATGTTTTTATGTGACCATGGACACGTATTCAAATTTTTTTGGATGGATTTTTTAAAATGTATTTTGTGTTTTTCTCAGGTCACGCTCACCTGACGGACTTCAACATAGCAACAATAATAAAAGATGGAGAGAGAGCGACAGCCTTAGCTGGAACCAAGCCCTACATGGGTAACTTTGCTTTGCAGTTGTGTCTGCTGAGAATGACAGCAGTGCTGCAGGGAAAAGGGCTGTTGTGTTCTGGACGTATGGGAGAATCTGATTTGAGTTACATTAACGCAACTTGTAGGAATCAAAATGTGTTTGGTTTGTAAATGCTCAAATGCACATTGAGAAGTGACAGTTTATTTCATTTAAACAAACAGTTTCTGGCACTGTTAGGTTGATAACCACCTTAATAAAATGTGACAAGGCACACAGAATTCATTTTAAGCATGTGACAAGCCTATAGTATATCAACTGTGTCCAAATTAGATACTGATGCGTAGAAGGTGCCAGACTCAGATTTCTGCAAATTTGTGAATACGTTTTACACTCTCATTGTTATGAATCATACACTTGTGTGAATTCAGCGATAAAAAATTACAGATCTTCTGGTAATTTGTGAATATCTGAGTCAAATGTCTCCCTTCATGTGATGAAAAATGAGCAGTTTTTTTCTGACATTTTGTGACAGAACTCTTGCCTTTTTCCCAAATGCACATACAGTGGCTAGAAAAGCTTTTTTTTCTGCTACAGACATGATTGTCTTCCTGCTGTGCTTTCAGCCCCAGAGATCTTCCAGTCTTTTGTGAGTGGAGGGACGGGCTACGCCTTTGAAGTAGACTGGTGGTCACTAGGGGTGACAGCCTTCGAAGTGCTGCGCGGATGGGTAAAGCGTGATTTTCATTTTTTTGTATTATGAGGCTGCAAAGATGGAGTTGCTTCCATTTGTTCACACCTCTTTCTCTTCCTCAACTTGCTGTGTTTCCTCCTTTTGTCACCCTGTCTCCAGAGGCCCTATGATATTCATGCCAGTAACTCAGTGGAGTCCTTGATTCAGCTCTTCAGCACAGTCAGCGTCCAATACAGCCCAGCCTGGCCCAAGGATCTGGTTTCTCTTCTGAGGAAGGTGAGATCGACTTAATGGAACATTATTCACTTTCAACTCTTTCATTTAAATATTTGAATTCACCCCAGAATTTACAGCCTGGAAATCATTTCCCTCTGAGAGATAAAGCTATCATTAGTCACTTTGATGTGGTTTTTACATTTTACGTAACACACATTTGTATTACCTGCCAATACGAATGAGAACTGCTGAGATTTATTGAACATAATTGGCGATATCCCTGAACACTTACCTCTAAGCCCTTAATTATTTTTGGAAATTTCCACCTTACACCTTCTTGATGATAAAAAATAATCTGCAGATTAATCAGTAATGAAAATAGTCGTATTTTGCAGCTCTAATCTTTTTTTTGGGATTTTTTTAAATGCAGTTTGGTAAAAACCTGAATATTTTGGGGGGAAGTCATGGATGTGTTTGCACCATATGAGGGTGAAAATTGAAGCGTGGGAGTGTAAAATTGTTTAGTCCCACTGGTGATTAACTCCTCCCTGACACTCAGGTTGACAAAACACACAGATTCACTCAACTTTGCCAGTAAAAAAAAAAAAGCATTATCTCTCCTTCTTAGCCAAAGGCAGAGCTTTGCTTTCACCTGTAAAAATGACAGACACTGCTGTCAGCAAGGCGTATCGTCTGTCACTAATTCACGCTCATTTTCTGACTCGGCTGTTGTTGAGTTTACTGGATTGTTGACACTCGACTCCGTCAAACAACTGAGTGTTTCCGTACGGAGCATATTGCAGGATATCCGAACTGAAGTGAGTTTAAGGTTACATTCCGGATTAAGTGAAATCAAAGTAATTTGATGGTGACCCTGCTGCCTGGATGCAGATGGTGTTCCTTAGAAAGAGGAGCAGGATGAAAGGAGGGCAAGGATGTAGAGGTGATGCTGAGGTACTTATTGAGGTAAAAAAAAAATAAGTCACCGAAGCCACAGGAACAGAGGATACATGTACCATAGGGGGCTTGAGCTGGAGGGAGGGAGGATGAGCCGAGACCCTCAGGGCAAAGGAGGACTGGGGGGGGGGAGGCGACAGATGGGAATCTAAAGGATGGAAGCACAGAAACAGAGCAAGTGGCTGAGCGAAGAGACAGTGCGCGCTATCATTCACGATAACAAGTCGTTTAACCCAATATTGAAGCTCAAAATGTGTTTTCTTACATGTGAAAATGTGCCAGCTGGATGAAATAATTCCCTTTGCATAAAATGGAAATAAATCCTCTCAACACTTTTCTTGAATCAGGCTCATTTTCTCTGCAGTAATAACCTACCTTATCCTGCTCTGTGTCAACATGTTGTCATCTGAACAAGAGGAAACTGTGCTGGAAACAAATTATCTCGCCCCCTCTGGCAGTTTTTCTTTACTCGCTTTAAGACAAGATTTTTTTTTTGAGTGAGTATGAAAAACTGCGGCTTGTTTCGGGAGGATTTATTTTTTTATTTTTTTTATTTTGCAGAGTGTAAGTGCGGGCATGAGTGCGTGCATGTGCTCTGTGTCTGACTGAGTGAGCGTTCTGGACGGAGCGATGGTCTCTTCCGCTCTGCTGCTGATCGATTACCGTGTCTGGACTCCACCGAGACAGACCTAACCGGCCCTGCAGGAGAAAACTGAATCAGCCTGTGACCAAAAGAAAGAAAAATAAAGCACAGGAGGAGAGTTAACATGACAAGAAACTCCACTCTTATCATTTCCAGCCTTTACCCTGAGGTGAAAAATGAAACAGATGGTATTCCATTAAAAACACAACTGTATCAGCATCAGTTTTTTTTCCTTCTCTCCACGGAATAAGTGACTCCACTCGTGTGTGCCGTTCATCTGTCTTGATGGGTGCAACAATTTTGATCCTCATGAGTGGCACATTTGATTAATACTGCCCCCTGTTGGTTACCATATTCGTAAGGGCTTGAAATGAATTCTTTCTCCTGTTGAGGTTGAGTGGCCACACAAGTTCACACTGAGCTCCACAGTCTTTCTAAATAATAAATAGATGTTTGTGAATATATATACTAATATGAACAATTTTGTAAAATTCTGAACATTGTGTTCTTTTGAAGTTCATTTCATTTCATGGCAGTTTTTATTTAGTGACCGTAGGGTTGTCACTGTGTTCTCACCTTGCAAGTAAGCTCAGCGTCTGCTACCACATTTAGCCAGTTTGATAGAACTGAGTCTTTGTTCAGTGAAAATCACAATTATTTTTACCTTGTTGACATGTCCGTATTGTGCTTATTATATTCCAGATGACATTGTGAGTTAAAAATGCAACTGTGGTTGAGCATTTCTGCGTTGAAGCTGAAATTACAGCGTCAGAAACATGGATTCAGACTTCATGGGCTTCATACGTAACAATTCTGAGGAACTAATCCTGTCAGTTTGCAGGGTGGAGCTTCAGGATGTCGTTATTCTTCTGCAGAGTTAGTTTCTGGATCAAACATGTAGCGCTGAATCACTCCAATATTGCAGCTTGCTGTTGTGCAGCATAGACTAGTTTTACATTGTTTGGGCAGAGTTGTAGGTGAGCTGGAGTGCTTGAGTTGCACAGTGTGGAGAGATTATTAGAAGAAATTGCTGGTTTGTATCATGCACGTCTTTCATTCTTGAGTCTTTATCACCCAATTGGCACTGATTTGCCAGCGGCTACCAGTTCCTTAGTGTAGGGTTAGGGGTTAGGGTTAGGGGTTACCAAGTCTACTGTTGTCTGTAAATGTCAACTTAAAGATATTTCACAAATTCTAAAATTTTAAAGTGCTGGGCTGTGTCCAGGAATCAAAGACACAATAATCCCACAACAAAGGCTCAATGTCTTGTTTTGTCACAACCCTACACTGTATGTATGCTGTAGGTGTCGCCCATTAAAGATTCATCTTCTGCAAACAGTCCTCATTGGTGTCTAGTGTAGCCTAGCATTAAAGCTAAGCTATTTTTAGGCAGGAAGCGATTATTTGCATAGAAAAAACTTGATAAATAAGTTGGACATGTCATTCAATATGTAACATGAGTACACACAAATTAGTTTTTAGTTGTT